AAGGGCCATAATTCAGGAAGTTATGATCCAATATGTGCGAATATCGAAAGGAACCAAGATCTTTGTGTTATAAACTTACATTTCAAGTTTCAACAAAATCGGATAAAAAATTGTGACCTCTATAGGGTCCACAACCTTGATATACCATATTTTTACGCTAATTGAGAACGAACGGCGGCCATTTTGTCTGTCAATTTTGGGGCGATTTTCACAAAATTCAAACTCAACTGTCCTTAGGGTGGAACGGTGATATAATAATACGTTTTTTTATATCGGATAAAAATTATGACCTCTATAGGGTCCACAAGCTAAAAACGCGATTTTTCGTACAATCAGGGGCCATAATTCAGGAAGTTAAGGGCCGATATGCGCGAATATCGAAAGGATCCAAGATCTTTGGGTTATAAACTTACATTTCAAGTTTCAACAAAATCGGATAAAAATTGTGACCTCTTTACAGGGCTTGCCACGAGCAAATTGGTGGCGAGTAGATGACTACTCACGCAAATATAGACTTGCGCGAGTGAGGCGAGTACATGTATTTACTCACGCAGAATAATGTGCGTGAGTAGTCATTTCCCTTTGTCATCGTTGGCGTGCTGATGGGATTTGGGTAAAGCTCACAAAGGTAAAAGATCAGGCACAACAATTTCAATCCCATCAATTTGCAGAAAAGATGCAGGATCGAAAGAATTGCTATAGAAACGACAACATCCGCTCAATTTTTGATTATCCAGACACGGCAAAGGACATCCGCTTAAAAACCGCCTGGCAGTACGCGTCTCAAAGTATTTTTAGTAACAACAGGTGGCACTGGAAAGACACGCAGCGTGCGCAATAGTGCATCAATATGAAGGCATATAAATTGTTTACGGCTTTTTTTATTACGATATTCCATTATTTCTGATTAAATTATTTTTTATATTTGCGCGAGTACTTAATCACTCACGTAAATTTGGTTTTACGCGAGCGTAGCGTGCGCGCGAGTAATTACTCGCGTCTCGTGGCAAGCCCTGTCTTTAGGGTCCACAACCTTGATATACCATATTGTTACGCTATTTGAGAACGAACGGCGGCCATATTGTCTGTCAATTTTGGGCCGATTTTCACGAAATTCGAACTCAGTCGTCCTTAGGGTGTAACGGTGATATAACAATATGGTTTTTTAAATCGGATAAAAATTATGACTTCTATAAGGTCCACATTCGTACAATCAGGGGCCATAATTCAGGAAGTTACGGTCCGAAAGGAACCGAGATCTTTTGGTTATAAACTTACATTTCAAGTTTCAACAAAATCGGATAAAAATTGTGACCTCTATAGGGTCCACAAGCTAAAAACGTGATTTTTCGTACAAACAGGGGCCATAATCCATGAACTTTCGATCCGATACATGCCAATATCGAAAGCAGCCGAGATTTTTTTGGGATAAAGCTATATTTCAAGTTTCGTCAAAATCGGACAAGAATTGCGACCTGTAGAGAGTCCACAAACAAATTGTGTCCAGACGGACAGGGGCGACAACAATATACGTCCACATGAAAATGTGGGCGTATAAAAATTGTGACCTCTATAGGATCTACAACCTTGATATACCATGTTTTTACGCTATTTGAAACGAAGGGCGGCCATTTTGTCTGTCAATTTTGGGCTGAATTTCACGAAATTCGAACTGAGCCGTCCTTAGGGTGTAACGGTGATATAATAATACGATTTTTAAATCGGATAAAAATTATGACCTCTGTAGGGTCAACAAGCTAAAAATGCGATTTTCCGTACAATCAGGGGCCATAATTCAGGAAGTTACGGTCCGATATGCGCGAATATCGAAAGGAACTGAGATCTTTGGGTTATAAACTTATATTTCAAGTTTCAACAAAATTGGATAAAAATTGTGACCTCTATAGGGTCCACAAGCCAAAAACGTGATTTTTCGTACAAACAGGTTCCATAATCCATGAAGTTTCAATCCGATACATGCCAATATCGAAAGCAGCCAAGATCTTTTGGAGATACACCTATATTTTAAGTTTCGTTAAAATCGGATAAAAATTGTGACCTGTAGAGTGTCCACAAACAATTTGTGGACGGACGGACGGACAGGGGCGACTGCATAATACGTACACATGAAAATGTGGGCGTATAAAAATGACTTACAAAATGTCACATAGAAGCTTTAACACCACAAATTACAGGATGATGAAAAAATAAATAACAAATATTTTTCGTAAGTGTTATGTATTAATTTGTTTGAAATGTACATCAACTACACTAACTGGTATCATTTCCCTAACCAGTCCCAACTACTGATAGATGATAATAAGTTTCTTTCTAGTTTTCTGACTTGCGAAAATGTTGATAAATGTTCCAAGATCAATTATAGATGTCTAATTATAACTTTTTGCATAGGAAATCGAGCGCTTTCATGTGCATCTGAGACACAAGAATGCAGATGATTCTGGATTCGGGATATCAGTATGCACCCACAATAGCGAGTACTAAGGATTATCCAAACACCAAATGTCAACAGTGAAAATGGGGCATATTCTGGTCATTGTCCGTCACACTCACACAAATGCAATTTGTAGGTCTATATGGTAGATAGACAGATTTACAGTATATGGCCCAAATTTATTTTTAGAACTAATCTGGGGGCCCAGTCAGCACCCAGTTTAATCCAGCAATATCACTGAAACAATATCTTTGGCACAAAAGAATAACTTCTGTCATGAGCTTTCCTTTAATATTACTGTGCATGGTGCAAACATTCTGCCAACGCAGATACTGTTGGCAACTAAATATTAAAAATAAATTGGGTCATTTTTGACAAACAGGAAGGTTTTACAGATGGGACGAAACATAATCTCAGATTCTCCACATCTTGGTTATTTTTCAACGGATCTTTGTTGGGTTTTAATTTTTGGATTCTTTGGACGAATTCCATACTGGCTCTGACTGAAGTTTTTTTTTTCGAAATTCGGAAGTTCGCTCGATTAGATTTAACATCAAAGATTTGCAAAAGTTTTCTTCATCCTTTTTTCGACATTCAACATGGCCTATCTATATCACTATTTGGGGTATCCAGTCGAAATTTGGTGGGAATAAGGAACACACCGATGCCTTCAAAATAGCATATTAAAATTTTTTATGACAGCTTCCGGAAATTACTGAGGCCTTCTGATTTTCCACGAAGATAGTAGTTCTCTCCATTTTAAGAATAGACCAAAAATGACATATGGTGGTGTTATTATCTTTCATTTTCTGAGACCTTGTTCCATAACATTTTCAACCGTTTGGCCGCTATATTGGATTTTACAAAAAATCTTCAAATCGATATTCAGCCACCATTGATTCTGATTTTCGAAAACTTATTTTTGTTTTGAACCTACTCCAAATGGCAACAATCGTCAGGGAGCTGATGTTTTAATTTTGATTTTCTTTACTTCCGGCTTCACTCTATCTGGTGACCTAAAGTTTTAATGACCCTTGACTTTTTCATATATGATGACCCTCATGCGTCTACTTTGAATTAATATCAAAATGTTCGGTCTTGAAGTATAACTTCCGGTTTAAGAGTTCAAAATGACAGGTTTTTCCACTTTAATAGGTATTGGATTTACTATACTAAATAATGCATGGTGTAACTTGATTGTTGACATGACAAGGCTTGACCTAACGTACCAAAACACGTCAGTACTCTTTGGGGTTCTAATTTTTATTGTAATGTAAGATCAAAAGGTTTCGTCTGCTCAATCAGCATTATACCGTATTCAATGTGAATAAAATTTATGACTGGTATTACAGTATAATCAATTGTTTCGGTATAAACCTCCTATATAATCGCCTTTAATTGAATTTTTCTTGTTGATCAAATTCAAGTATGGTAATCGAATGATCACAGTTTGTTGTTATTACAATATGGTTGTCAAAATATGTCAATCTTTAACCTCCCTGCAACATCTTTCGTTGACAGTAAAAATGTTGGAATATTCAATTGTACAATTGATTTTATTTTACCAGAGGTTATTTCAAGCATGGGTAAGTTTTTAAACATATAATAATTAAAAACCTTAGTTTTCAAAAGGGGGATCACAGTGGCTAAGTGGGTAAGACGCTGGCTCGCTAGTCTGGACGTCGGGTGTTTGATCCCTGCATTAATTGGCCGAGAAAGTTCATCCGATTTTCCAGCTTTGTTCCCCCTTCTCAGTGATGCAGGATGGAGGGCCCGACAAGGACAGCTGTCCAGTCGTTCTGATGGCATGAAAAACTGAGGTCCTGTGTACACATTATTGGCGTGCACGTAAAAGATCACTTGGCAGTTGGAATTCGATACAAGAGTGGGCCGTAGCGCCGCTGCCCGGGCAAAATTTCCCTCATAGCACACTGTATGGCGTATGCCCGTCTTCATTAGCCCAGGTTTGCAGCAAAACAGTAGGAGTCAGCAATTTAAACCCCATTTCTTTTCAAACTTCCATGAATTGGAAAATGGTGTCATAATTCAACTGTGTCACGTATTTCTGAATAGTCCCTATGGCTATGGTCTAATTGCAATCAAATACCAAGCTTACTATGGTGTAAAACATTAAAATTCAAAATAAAATATTACCAAAATGCCTCTGAAAAGATGTACTTTCGGTTTCCTCCTCAAAAACCTCGTATATTTCTTCTAATAACACGTTGCCACATACTCAAATGTCTCCGTCGAGGGATATCCCGTTTTATGACGTCAAAGCACCTGATAAGGTTGGCATTCGTCACAGAAAGAAACGAAATAGTTCTTTAATAAATCTGACTTATTCGTTTGAATTATTTCATATATATTTATATAAGTATTTACTTATGATTTTATAATATGCTTTGGGTATAGTTCAAGATTTTAATGGATATCGACAGTAAATCAAAGTATACTTATAAATAGATGACCCATTTAAACGCCAACGAGTTACGGCCGCATTATATTTCTACGCGTATTAGTTCTCGTTTGCTTGAATTGCCTTGAAAAGAAAATGGCGACTATTCTCGGGTGGTGTGATAAGTGGTTTCGTCGTGTATTTTAATTGTATACGAAAAGTGTGGAATCTTCAAAATGTCTGAGCCTGGGAGCTCAACATCTTCGCCCTCATCTATTGAATCAGGTTCGATATATTTTCCTTGGTAGTATTTGAAACAATGGAAATTTACCGGGAACTCCCAAGACTGAAATTACATTTTAACTGTTTTCTTTTTCAGAATTGTGTTTTCTAATAGCCCGGTTTTTATCAAATGGCCCATGTCAAAGGACAGCAAAGGTTTGTATTTTACTTATCAGTAATTCCTTTACACGTTTCCGACATCATCTAATATATTTTGTTGTCTCTTGCAGGTGTTTCTCGATGAATTGCAGGAAAACAAGGTAAGTACAACTTTAATGTTTCATTTTGTACTCTTTGAATTTCGCTCTTTTTACGCTCTTTTAGCCAAAATTTAATGTTATTTTTATGGTTATTAACATTGTTGTGCTGTCTACTGATTCAAACGTTCTATTTTATGCAATTTAGAAAAATACGTCCATTCATGCCAATATTTAATTTTTCAGCTTTTACCTAAAAGAGTGGATTGGGAAGGCCGCGAACATTTCAGAAGTTATAATAACTTGGTAAGTTACCGAAAAACTTTATCGTACGGTAAAATAGTGAATATTTTCGGCGAATTATTTAAATAACGTATATTTGGGAGCTAATCAGATTTTGACTGCATTTGATAGAATTATGTGTGCAGATTTCAGAAATGTGATTGTCGGTACCCAGAAATAATTTTGAAGTGGTTAAATTAAATAAATATAATATAAATTGATAACTGCTTAAAATATAAAATGGCCAAAGATTCTCGGTGATGTCACAGAAATAGAGCGGGCGAAACAACCAATCAGAAGACAGCAGAAACATGTCGGCCAGAACTGCTTGCAACGTTACTATAAATAGATGTAGTCTTTTTATTGGTTGGTATTATTATCTGATTGTAGTGTCACTGGAGTAGTTTCATTCATGTAAGTTCCAGTTTGTGTTAAGTCTGGAATTAGAAAGGAATTTACAGTTGATGTTTGATGCAGATTAAATACATTTTTCTTTGGGTGTATTTGGAAATTTTATCTTATAATTTGTATTGTTGGAGAACAGTACAGGTATATAAAATATTTATATTAGGCTGTAGCCCTCATAATATTAAAGGAGCTAAATCGCTAATATTAATATTTGGGACCTAGAAATTGACACAAATGGGTTGCAACGGATATAATAATGTAATCTAATTGTATATACATTCAATTGTTTCAGTTTTGACTCTAACTTCAAATCAGTTATGTCCAGCAAAATACATGGTTATTCCAGGCTATTGGCATTGCGCATGCTCACATGGCGTCATAGAACTGTAGGCCTACGATCTATGATGGTGTCACCGTTTGACATGAGTTGTGGAATATGTCTAGCCTCGCTTTTTCTGGTCACTTGTTACAAATGACTCTGAAACGCACTATGGTACACGATTCGTGTACCAATGGTAAAATGTTTATTTTGTCTTAAATATTGGATATCAGAAGCGTACCTTTTCCCAGTAAGATGACAATATCAATGTTGATTTAATTGACAAATAATTTGTGTTTTCAACGTGTAAGACTTTGGATGATATTGAGTTAGAGACTTAGCTACTTTAAATATGGTGATTTACACTCATTTCTTGTCGCTCTAGAGGCCATAGTTAATATCCGATTGACTATAAATTGATACACAGTGTTTAGGGTCATGAGACGAAGAATCCTATTGATTTTCAGCGATTTCCGATAATTACTGCCAGAGTTATGGCCCTTGATCACTTTGAAAAATCTTGTTGATGCTGTAGAGGCTAAAGTTAATATCCGATTGACTTTAAATTGATACACAGTGTTTAGGGTCATGAGACGAAGAATCCTATTGATTTTCAGTGATTTCCGATAATTTTTGCCAGAGTTATGGCCCTTGATCACTTTGAAAAATCTTGTGAACGCTCTAGAGGCTAAAGTTAATATCTGATTGACTTTAAATTGATACACAGAGTTAAAGGTCATGAGACGAAGAAGCCTATTGATTTTCATTGACTTCCGATAATTTTTGCCAGCGTTATGCAGGCCTCGAAATAAGACGGCACAGGGTGATCAATAAATCGATCCCCTGATTTTTGGTCCAGGTGATCGATTTTTTGATCACCTGAGGTATCAACCAGGTGACCAATCGATCACCTAAAACTAGAGATTGCATGATGTTGTTTGAATGTTGTTTCTTGAGTAACTTAAATTGCGTGACCATTTACTTAATTCATTTCAGGGAATATATCCAAGATACAATTTGAAGAACTGTTTTACTCCTTCTATAACCAACTTGTTATTATTTTAGTGTAGGTTTGCCATATGCCGCCATTTTGTTGTCTAAGAAAAAGAAAAAATACGGTTTTCCCCACTAATTAAAAGATCTGTCACAAATACAATGGGCCTCTGAAAATCTGTAGGTTACGTTTTTTGTAACAACTGCAAAACAAAATGATGTTTCCTTGAGAAAAAAAACGAATGTGGATAGGTTTTAATACTTTTAACGGCTTATTCATCGTTGTAATCCAAGTTCGATGTCTTTTCCACGGATGTTTCAAAACACTAACAATAAATATTTTGATATCAATTTTTAGCGGTAGTTTCGCATTTTTTAATAATGGCCTTGTGGTTGAATAAAATTACTATTTTCATCGCTAAATAAGAAATTAAAACCCGTGTTATGTCATATCATTTTGTTCGCCTTGATTTAAACTTTCTTCTTATATGAAAATAAAGCTAGCATATCAAATCAAACATTAGCGGAATTCCCGTAAAAGGCCTGTTATAGCCCTTGATCACTTTGAAAAATCTTGTGGACACTCTAGAGGCTAAAGTTAATATCCGTTTGACTTTAAATTTATACACAGTGTTAAAGGTCATGAGACGAAGAAGCCTATTGATTTTCAGCGATTTCCGATAATTACTGCCAGGGTTATGGCCCTTGATCACTTTGAAAAATCTTGTGGGTGCTCTACAGGCCAAAGTTAATATCCGATTGACTTGAAATTTATACACAGTGTTTAAGGTCATGAGACGAAGAGGCCTATTGATTTTCAGCGATTTCCGATAATTACTGCCAGAGTTATGGCCCTTGATCACTTAAAAAAATCTTGTGGACGCTCTACAGGTCAAAGTTAATATCAAATTGACTTTAAATTTATACACAGTGTTTAAGACGATGAAGCCTATTGATTTTCAGTGATTTCAGATAATTACTGCCAGAGTTATGGCCCTTGATCACTTTGAAAAATCTGATTGACTTTAAATTTATACACAGTGTTTAAGGTCTTGAGACAAAGAAGTCTATTCATTTTCAGCGATTTTTGATAATTACTGCAAGAGTTATGGCCCTTGATCACTTCAAAAAATCTTGTGGACGCTCTAAAGGCCAAAGTTAATTGACTTTAAATTTATACACAGTGTTTAAGGTCATGAGACTAAAAAGCCCATTGATTTTCAGCGATTTCCGATAATTACTGCCAGATTTGACTTCAGATTGATACACAGAGTTTAAGAGCTTGAGACGAACAAGTATATTGATTTTCAATGACTTTTTATGACTTGAACAGCTAAATCCATGATATTAAAAGTTTTGTATACTAAACGTTAGCATGGGGCAGGACTTTATAAAAAAACCAAACAAATACTAATGGTTTTGTGATAATTACTACATGAGTTGTTACTATTAATCAGATTTTAGTGTATTATAAATGTTACATTACCGAAAGAAGTAAAAATATGCGACAACACTTGTTGACTGCCCGGACGATTTAGCTGCTGCCTGGCAACCTATCTTTTTGAAACTTGAAATGTAAGTTTATAACCCAAAGATCTCGGTTCCTTTCGATCTTCGCGCATATCGGACCTTAACTTCCTGAATTATGGCCCCTGATTGTAGGAAAAATCACGTTTTTAGCTTGTGGACCCTTTAGAGGTCATAATTATTATCCGATTTAAAAAATCATATTATTATATCACCGTTACACCCTAAGGACGACTGAGTTCGAATTTCATGAAAATCGGCCAATAACTGACAGATAAAATGGCCGCCCTTCGTTCTCAAATAGCATAAAAATGTGGACGTATATTGCCGTCGCCCCCCGTCTGTCGGTCCGTACGTCCATCGTCCACAATTTCTTGTGAACGCTCCAACGCCCAAAGTTATCATTCAATTGTTTTAAAATTGATATATGTTTTTTACATTAGTGAGATGAAGAAGCCTATTTAATTTCAACAATTTCCGTTTATTACGTCTAGAGTTTTGGCCCTTGTTTCACTTTGTTGAACCTTGTGAACGCTTTAACGCCAAAAGTTATCATCCGATCTTTCTGAAATTTATATGCATTATTTAGATTACTGAAACAAAGAATCCTATTGAATTTCAACAATTTCTGTTTATTACGTCTAGAGTTATGGCCCTTGTTTCACTTTATTGAACCTTGTGATTGCTCCAACGCCAAAAGTTATCATTCGATCTTTGTGAAATTTACATGCATTATTTAAACTGGTGAAACGAAGAAGCCTATTGAATTTCAGCATTTTCCGTTTATTATGTCTAGAGTTATGGCCCTTGTGTTTCACTTTCTTGAACCTTGTGATTGCTCCAACGCCAAAAGTTATCATTCGATCTTTGTGAAATTTACATGCATTATTTTAACTGGTGAAACGAAGAAGCCTATTAATTTCAGCAATTTCCGTTTATTATGTCTAGAGTTATGGCGATTGTGAACGTTTGAATGACAAAAGTGATCATGTGATCTGTATGAAATTTATATGCATTATTTAAATTAGTAAAACTAAAAAGCCTGTCAAATTTCAACAATTTCTGTAGATTACTTCCAGAGTTGAGACCCTTTTTATACGCCCACATTGAAATGTGGACGTATATTGCCGTCGCCCCCGTCCGTCCATCGTCCACAATTTCTTGTGAACGCTCCAACGCCCAAAGTTATCATTCAATTGTTTTAAAATTGATATATGTTTTTTACATTAGTGAGATGAAGAAGCCTATTTAATTTCAACAATTTCCGTTTATTACGTCTAGAGTTATGGCCCTTGTTTCACTTTGTTGAACCTTGTGAACGCTCTAACGCCAAAAGTTATCATCCGATCTTTCTGAAATTTATATGCATTATTTAGATTACTGAAACGAAGAATCCTATTGAATTTCAACAATTTCTGTTTATTACGTCTAGAGTTATGGCCCTTGTTTCACTTTATTGAACTTTGAGATTGCTCCAACGCCAAAAGTTATCATTCGATTTTTGTGAAATTTACATGCATTATTTAAACTGGTGAAACGAAGAAGCCTATTGAATTTCAGCAATTTCCGTTTGTTATGTCTAGAGTTATGGCCCTTGTTTCTCTTTATTGAACCTTGTGAACGCTCCAACGTCAAAAGTTATCATCCGATCTTTCTGAAATTTATACGCATTATTTAGGTTAGTGAAACGAAGAAGCCTATTGAATTTCAGCAATTTCTGTTCATTACGTTCCTTGTTTCACTTTATTGATCCTTGTGAACGCTACAACGCCGAAAG